GAGGGGGGAGGGGAGGGAGGGGGGGGGGAGAGAGGCTGACAAAGAGGCGCACCTCGGCAGGAGGGAACAGGTCCAGGATGAGGCGCATCATGAAGTCCGAGTAGCCATAGTAGGTGCAGCAGTCCTCGACCATCTGCTCAACGTAGTCCGAGCGCGAGAGGGCCGGATCACGCAGCTTGGAGAAGTTACCCAGAATGCGGACGATGTCACTGATGCGCTGCTTGACCGAGGCCAGGTCGGTGATGTTCTCGTCTACGCGCGAAGGTGGAGGGGGGAGGGGGGGCAAGAGGGAGAAGGTGGGTGAGCGGCGAAGGGCGGCGGCGGGCCACAAGGGAAGGAGAGAGAGAGAGAGAGAGAGAGAGGGGGGGGAGGGGGAAGGAGGACGCACTGAGATTGAGGGAAAGGGTCTCCATCTCGCCGCGCTCGCGCTGGGTCTCCTCATCCTCGTCCTCCTCAGAGTAGAGCTCGCTCTCATCGCCGGACATGTGGTCGTCCGAGTCGTCATGGTCGCCGAAGTCGGCCTCCACATCGGACCCATCGGAGCCATCCATCTCCTCGTCGTCGGAGCCGCCAGCGGCCCCCCCAAAGAGAGACTTCATCGGGGCCTTGGAACGAAGGGACTGAATGTCGTCGTCATCCGACTCGTTGTCGGAGTCATCATCGGAGGGCTCCTCATAGGAGAGCTCCTCGTCGCTGTCGGCCTCCGAGGGGAGAAGCTGGTGCAGGGTCAAGGGGAAAGGGTGAGCATGCATGTGACCGGCGGGCGGCGGCGGCGGCGGCGGCGGCGGCGGCGGAGGGGGAGAGGGAGAGAGAAGGAAATGTGAAGAAACATACATCGTCATCGCTATCCGAGGCCAGGGTCGGCTCGGAATCAGAGTCAGACTCGGGCGCCTTGGCCTTCTTCTAAGGGAGAGAGAGAGAGAGACAGACCGGCGGAAGGCCAGGTGAGAGGTCAGAACCAAGCAAGGGAGGTGGAAGGGCAGATGGGGGGAGGGGGGGGGGGGGGGGCCGTGACGTACGCCCTTGGCAGACTTCTTCGGGGCCGCCTCCGAAGCCTCGCCCGCCTCCGGGGCGGCGGCAGACTGGTGGGCCATGCGGCGAAGGAGCTTGCGAGCGCGGGTGCCGGGCTTCTTGTTGTCGGCGCCCTTCTTCATCTCGACGGCCAAGGGGCCGAAGATCTCCGGGGCGGCCTGCTTCTTCTTGGCCGGCTTGTTGCCGCGCTTACGGCGGGTGTCCTCGACGGGCTCCTCGAAGGAGACGGTGTTGTCGTGCTTGGCCATGACCTGTGGTGCTTGGGGTAAGTGGAGGGCATGCTGCCGGAGATGAAGTGCGTGCGAGTATAAGGCGTGTCTGTGTGTGTGTGTGTGTGTGCGTGCGTGTGTGTTGTATGCAAACATAGGTGGTGCGACCGGGGGACATGCGCAACGCACGACTAAGAAAAAGCGGCGACTTGTGGCCCAGACGCTTCCAGGGAGGAAGGGATACGAGGGAAATGGGGAAGGGGGAGGAAGAGAAGGAGAGGGGGGGGAGGAGGAGGAGGCACGCGAGGTGGAAATGGGGGGAGGGGGAGGAAGAGGGAAAAGGTGGGTGCGTGTATGTGTCGGCAGATTGGGCGGCGCAATTTCGACGCGGGGCCCGAAAAAAGCCCCGGCGGGTACACGCCATCTGGCCATAGTCGGCCGGCCGCGACGGACGGCCTGGGAGTCTGCCTCGCACGGAGCGGCGAACGCCCCATGCGTGCGGTTCTTGCGAGGGGCGGGGGGCGGCGGCGCGCGGGGGGCGGGTCCTGCCTTGGCTGCCCGCGCGCTGGGCCTCCACAGGCAGGCAGGCAGGCAGGCAGGCAGGCAGGCAGGCAGGGCGGGCTCGGGGAACCCTGGGGCGCTGGCAGCCGCAGCCGTTCGAGCTTCGGGCCCGGGACGCGCGGGGAATCTGGCGCAGATCCACGCGGGAAGCGGCTGCCATGAACGCGGTGGCGTGATCTATAGGTCACGCGATACCCCGAGCACCCCCGACGCTTTGGCTCGACGATCGGCCCCCCGCTCCGCCTCCCCCCCCCCCACCCAAGAGGCCGTGGCCGGGTGGGATGGCAGGCATCTGGCGGGGTCGGCAATGTATCCCTCACCCTGCTCCTCCATCGTTCCTCGCTGCCTCCAGCGCTTTTCTGCCGCCGCCGCCGTCGTCGTCGCTGCTGCTGCTGCTGCATCTGACACCTCCACCGCCGACCCTGTCGCCGTCGCGGTCGCCGCCATCGCTGCTGCATCTGCTGCTGTTCTTGCTGCTCCCGTCGCCACGATGCCCTGCTGCGTCACCTGCGGGGCTCGCATGGAGTACCTCTTTCGCGAGCACGGCGCCGGGCCTGTGCAGATCCGGCAGATCGTCTGCGTGCGCTGATCCCCCCCCCCCCCCCCCCCCCCCCCCCCCCCCCGCTCCCGCACACAGGCGCCCCCATGTGCCCACACGCGCACGCACACACAGCACGCTGTGTGACGCAGTGCATGCCGACACTGACATGTCCGCACCATCTGACGGCATCCTTCGCGGTTGCTGGTATGCAGTCGAAATGCAACCAGCCCGGGGACCCGTACTATGAACGCCCGTTTGCCCTGGCGGCCATCGACTTCATTCTTCATCGGCCTCAGGCGCACCGGCACATTCACTTCAATCGCATAGGCCTGGGACCCGCTTGTCATGTGCGCGCGTCTTGCGTGTGCTTTTTCTTTTCTCACCAAGGAGCTAACTCACCGGCCACCCATGATCCTCTGATCCCCCTTCCAACAGCGAGACGCTCGTTCTCTCGGCATACTGACCATTGTCATTGATCTTCTCAGCCGGTGGCTGTCGATACTCCCGCCAAGCGCCCTCTCGCCCTTGGTGCTGGAGCCATCGGCCCAGCTGGCCGCCTTCCACGCATACACATCCATCCTGGCCCTGCCTGCTCCGACGGTGCTCCTTTTGGTGGTGCAGTATTTCTTCGGTGCGGTCGCGCACGGTGCTCCCCACTCATGGCCTGCCTCCGCCAATTCTGACCGCGCGCGTCTCTCTCTCTCTTTCTCTCTCTCTTTCTCTCTCTCTGGCACAGAACTCGGTGTCTTTTTTCACGCCCTGCGTCTTGCGCTTCCTCGGCTGCCAGGCGCCCGGACAGACGTCAGGTGCGCCCCACAGCTGGTCATTTTCCTTCCTCCTTACCTCGTTGCTTGGGGCCTCATCCTGACCCTCCCATATGCGCGCCCCCTTCCGCGCAGCTCGACACACCTTGTGCAAACCCTATGTATTGCCAGCTTCGCACGGATGGTCCCGCTGATACTGATGCGCATTTGGTTCAACGAGGCGGACCTTGCCTCGACCAGCTGGCTGGCATACGTTTATGCGGTCAGTTGTGTTGGTCTCTCGCTCTCGGGTGCGCTGCCTCTCGGGTCCTGGCGTGTGTGTCCGTGAGGGTGTGAGGGAATCTTGTCCACAATCATACTTACATGTCCACATTCTCCCTCTTGCCTTGCCTTTTTCTTTCTCCCTTTCTCTCTCCCTCTCTTCTTCTTTTCGGGCCTTCCCCATGTGCACACTGCGCATTCTATGCTGGTCGCATGCTCCCTGTTGGCAACATGGTGCATGAACGCAAAATGGTACACACATGCACACACGCACACACACGCACACTCATTCACACAGTGGTTTACCGGACGGGCTATTGGGCAGCAGTCGGGTGTGTCGGGCTCGGGTTAGCGGCCCGCGTGATTGTACAGTTTGCATTTGGTCACGTGGCGGGTTCTCCGATTTGGTATCTGCTCTGAAAATAGACCCTTTCCTTTCTGGTCCCCGCGTGTGCGCACACGCATGCACAAGCACACACATACACACACACACACACTCTTCGGCTCTCCCCCCTCCCTGGTCTTTGGACCTTGCATCAAGCCTCCATGCCCAGCCCAAAATCCACGCACGGGCCTTGTGGTCCCGCAGTGGCAAAGAAGCCCTTGTGGGCCCATCCGCACAGGGCGGGCGGGGGGGGGGGGGGGGTAATCTTCTCCCGTCCATGGTTCCTTCCGGTGGCGCGGCCGCCGACAGCCAGCCGGGATAGCCCGGGGAGATCCCCCCGTGGTCCCCCTCTGGGATGCCCTGCCTCCCGCGTACCCCCCGAGGAGACCCGGCCACGGTGAGTTGAGAGGGAGACAGAGAGAGGGAGCGAGAGCAAGGGCAGATTTCATTCTCCACCGCCTTCCGTCCCTTGAGATCAAGAAGCCGGCGCCCCGACTGCTGGGATGGCTGACAGATCGAGCACCAGGACCTCCCTCCCCTCCCGCATCATACACGCCCCACCCTTCGTGACAGTCGCTCCTTCCTTTGCCTTTTGATCCCTCCCCCCCCTCCTCTCCTTGCCACTTGCGAGATCTCCCCAGCCCCTGCTCGCTTGCTTGCGCGCCCCCTCTCTCTCTCTCTCTCGCCCTCTCCCTCCCCTTCGGTCGCCATGTCCACCGTCGATGATGCTCCCGTCACCGTGCTGGAGGAGGACTTCCCCTCCCTTGGTGGCTCTGCTGCTGCTGCTGCTCCTGCTGCTGCCCCTGCGGCTGCTCCTGCTGCCTCGAAGGTTTCTTGGGCGGCTACCGTGAAGACGGCCGCTGCGGTCGCTACCACTGGCGCCCAGGACACCGCTTCGAAGCCCGCGCCGACCGCCAGCGCCGCTGAGGGCACCCAGGAGGAAGAGGACGCGCCGTATGCCCCGGCCGTCCTGGTCCTGGATACCAATGCCTTCCTGTCGGATCGCCTGATGGCCCTTTGCGCGTCGGCTCCCAAGCTGGCCACCATTCCCGAGGTGATTAGCGAGCTGGTGGACCCGGCCGTCCGTGCGCGCTTTGACAACCTCCCCTACAAGGTGGACATCCGCCAGCCGGCGGAGCCAGCCCTGGCCTACGGTGCGACCGGGAAGACACCACAAGGCGCCCCCCCCCCTCCCCCCCCCCTGCTGGCTCCTCGGGTGTCTGTACTAACGCCATCCTTCCGCCCACCTCCTGCCAGTCCGCACCTTTGCCATGAAGACCGGTGATGCTGCCTCTCTCTCGGAGGTGGACATCCGTCTACTGGCTCTTTCCATCACCATCGAGGCCGAGCTCAATGGTGGCAATCTGCTGCACCTGCGTCGCCACCCGCCTGGCGTACGGCCTTTTCGCCTTTCTTGGCTCTCTCTCTTTTTTCTTTCATTCCCCCCCCATTGCTCTCCGTCAGAGTCCCGGACTAATGGCCCCTCCCCTTCAGACTGTCACTAGCGTTGGTGGCCAGGTTGTTCGAACTGTGGTCCCCGGTGCCGCGCCTACCGAGGACGAAGAGAAGGAGAAGGAGCCCGCCGCTCAGGGGACCTCGTCCCCCGGCCAGCATAACTTCGCGCATCTGCCCGGCTTCTACTACGGCTCGGCCGACCGCGATGAGGTTGCCCGCGCCCGGGCCATTCGCGATGCGAACCTGGCCAACCCGCGCCCTACCTCCAACGACGGCAAGGTCCGCACCGTGGTGGCTATGGACGGGTCCGAGCGCCAGGTCGCCAAGGTGTCTGGCCGTCGCCGCCGCCAGGCCGTGGCCACCTTCTCCGACAGTGATGAGGATCAGCCCCCTGCTGCCGCTGCCGCTGATGTCGCCGCTGCCGCCGCCGCCGCCGCCGCCGCCGCCACCACCACCACCACCACTCCGACTGCTGAGACACAGTCGTCCGATGACGCGGACGACCATGAGGGCAACTTCTCCGACAGCGACTCCGACGATGAGGAGGGCTGGGTCGGCCCGGGCACCGGCTTTAGCAACGCCCTGTCGACCGATACCTCGATCTTCAATTCGGCCACCGCCCACTCGGCCATCGATGCGGCCAACGCCGAGGATGGCATCGTTGTGGACACCAGCATCCGCGTACGGGAGCCCCC